GGTGGTGTTGTTGCTGTTGGTGTTGGAGTAGTAGAAGTACTAGTTACTAGTACTAGTAGTAGTGCTGCCACTATCATTATTGCTATTGCTGCCACTGCATAAAAAATTGATCACGATACCTTTTTCTGGTCATGGTCATGGTTCTAGGGCCTCTAGGGAGTACTGCGACTGGCCGGTCTGCAATTGTAGACCTTGAACAACCCCACTTCCTGAAACAGCCGGACTCGCAACCTTAAAGCCCAACAGCCCCTGTGACGGATTCAGCCTTTGTCCAGCGGCTATTTGCACCCCAAGGACGAGGGCGTGTAAAAGGATGCCCACCTTGAGTTCGGCTCATGTATGTGCTAAGATTCGGATTTTGGGCCCGAGAGTTTTGGATAGTCATGCCTCGAGGGTGTGAGGGCCGCAGGGTGTTTAGGGTGTCAAGATAGCCAGCATCCTGGAGGCATACTTGTCCTCCGCTCGATATTGGTGATACCTGATAGGCACTCCTGACACTTAGCTGAACATCCAACAAGACGGTCGCCAGTCACGTGCCAAACAGTGGAAGCGTGATTACAGAGGAGGCCTGATCCTGAAGAGGATCTGGAATTCTCTCGCACATACGTACGTGACATCTATCACCATGCCTGATCGAGGCCTTGTAAAGCCTGCGCCAGAAGCCCCGGCACGATCCTCGCCAAAAGCTCTCAACCGCCGAAAATCCCAAGATAGCCAAAAGACCATGAAGAAGCTCTCGAACCAAAAGCTGCCCACAACGTGCTTCACAAGGTAGTACTGGCATCCTTTGGACGAATTCGGACTTTCGGTTTTGCTGGGGGGGGGGGGGGGGGGTTCTCACACCAAGGGCCCAGCAAGGTCACCAAGGTGCTGTAGTTTTGCGGTTAAGACGGTTGAGAGTTTAGGGTGTCGGGCTTGCTGGGCCTTCATGGTTCGGCTCCAAATCCTTATCCTTCTCTGATGGCAGACGGTGTGCGAGGGCTTGGCAGTTCGGAGACGGCCTAGGGATTTTGAAGGTCCATCGTGCTGCAGCTTGCTGGAATACAGGAGGAATATCATGATGTTCATGATCATGCTGCTGATTGCAGTATGCAGTGACAAGTACTTGCTGCCATTATTACTGTTTCGAATACGAGTAATTGCAGCCTTTTCGAACACTCCGCGCACCAGTGGCTACCTGCCATTTTGCGTCTGGAATGTACTCAGACTCGTCTAACGAAACAGCATCTTCGTTTGTTGTTGTGCTGCAGCTGTAGCTGCCACTTTAGCCGTCGCCGAAAAAGTAGCAGTAGCAATTGTGGTCGTCGTCGTCGTCTTTGTCTTGTCGTTACCGTTATCATCGTCGTCGCAAACGTCGCAATAGGGCTAGCAGTGGTAATGGTGGTAGTAGTGGTAG